TTGGACTGTAGGGGAAAATGGAGCATCCTGAGGAAACGTACACAAACAAAGGGAGTATATGCAAACTCAGAGAGAAATGCCAACTGGCCTAGCCGGGACTTGAACAAGCATCCTGCTTGCAGTGAAGCAACAATGCTAACCACTAAGCCACCGTTTTTCCGGAGATGGGTTGTGGCTGGAAGGGCATCCGCTGCATATAAAACTTGCCGGATAAGTTGGTGGTTCATTTCGCTGTGGCGACCCCGGATTAATAAAGGGACAAAGCTGACAAGAAAATGAATGAATAAGCCATCATGCCACCATTATATTGATATGATAGTATAATAATAATAAATAATTAGTAGTATTTTTAATTAAAAAAACAACAACAATAAAAACTCCATTTTGCCCCAAAATATGCAGCTTAATTCACTACTGATATTCATAAAAATAATTAAAAGTAATATAATAATAATATATAATTCATATTTTTTCATCTAAAAATTTTGCCCTCAAACCATGCAGCTTATTTACTAGTGTCCATAATGTTGGTGTCATTTCTGGTTTTAGTGTCACAATGGATCTGCCAGAAATGTACATGTAACTGTAACTACATCTATATGTGCAGATAAGCAGAAGTTGGCTTTGGAGGAGTGTGTAACAAAGTTGGAGGACAGCTGTCGGGTGAAAGAGGGTGAGCGTGTGGACCTGGAGCTCAAACTCACCCAGGTGAAGGAAAACCTGAAGAAATCTCTAGCTGGAGGAGAAATGGAGGCGCCAACAGAGTCTAAACCTGCACATAAGGTAATGACTAGACTCGTCTTTCGGATGAGATGTTAAACTGAGGTCCTGACTTTCTGGGGTCATTAAAAATCCCATGGCACTTCTCGTAAAGAGTAGGGGTGTAACCCTGGTGTCCTGGCCAAATTCCCTCCATCGACCCTTACCCAACATGGCCCCCCTTTTGTGAAGGGCTTTGGGTGTATGGCCATAGACAATAAATGCACTATATAAATACACATTACATTATATTACTTACTTCCTATTGTCTTATTCTTATATACAGACTTAATGTGTGTTTGTGTGTGTGTGTGTGTGTGTGTGTGTGTGTGTGTGTGTGTGTGTGTGTGTGTATATATATATATATATACACATACATACACAAACACATATACAGTTGAAGTCAGAATTATTAGCCCCCTTCAAATTTATTTCTTCTTTTTAAAATATTTTCTAAATGATGTTTAACAGAGCAAGGAAATTTTCACAGTATGTCTGATAATATTTTTTCTTCTGGAGAAAGTCTTATTTGTTTTATTTCGGCTAGAATAAAAGCAGTTTTTAATTTTTTAAACAATTTTAGGGACAAAATTATTAGCCCCTTTAAGCTATATTTTTTTCTCGATAATCTATAGAACAAACCACTTTTTATACAATAACTTGCCTAATTACCCTAACCTGCCTAGGTAACCTAATTAACCCAGTTAAGCCTTTAAATGTCACTTTAAGCTGTATAGAAGTGTCTTGAAAAATATATAGTCAAATATTATTTACAGTCATCATGGCAAAGATAAAATAAATCGGTTATTACAGATGAGTTATTAAAACTATTAAGTTTAGAAATGTGTTGAAAAAATGTGCTCTCCGTTGAACAGAAATTGGGGGAAAAATAAACAAGCGGTCTAAAAATTCAGGGGGGCTAATAATTCTGACTTCAACTATATATTTATTTTTCTTTTTTTCTTTGTTATGCAAATTAATGTCATAATTTTGGGATCAATAGTCTTCAGTCACATGATCATCTGCTGCTCAAAAGTTCAAAGGTACAATTAAAATGATTTTCTTTTTAATTTCTATTCATCAAGGGCACATTAATGTGTTCAGAAGTAAAATGAAGACATTGTATTTCCACAAAACTATGCAGAACATTTTTCCCTCAAGATTGTTAATATAAGAATTATTATTCACACTTTACAATATGGTTTCATTAGTTTACGTTAGTTAATGTATTTACTAACATGAACTTAGTATAAACAGCACATGTACAGTATTTATTAATGATAGATCAACATTTACTATGCATTAAGATCCAGATTCATGCTTGTGAACATTAATGCATCGTGAGTTAACATGAACTAACAATGAACAACTGTATTTGACAAACGTGAACATGTACTGTAATAAATGTATTGTTCATTGTTCGTTCATGTTAGTAAATGCATTAAGTAATACAACCTTTTTAATAATAATAATAATAATAATATTTTTTATTTGTAATGCGCTTTACTTAGACTCAAAGTGCTACAAAGCAAAATACTAATAGCAGAAACAGCACAACATTACAAATATATACAATAAAATAGAAGCGTGGCTAATACAGGGTAAGTCCAGATACCAAAGGAAGACTGTGGGCTGGAGTGGCGAGAGTCACCAGGTCGCAAATGTAACCATATGTTAAAATCAAGATCTTCACATCAGTCCATTACTTAAAAGGATTTTTGTAAAGTGTTGAACTATTGAACTATTGATTGAACTATTGATGAACTATTGTTATTAATGACTGAGTGCTGATAATTAATCAGCAAATGGCAAATAGTCATATTGGGATGATTTCTGAAGGATCGTGTGACACTGAAGACAGAAGTATTGATGCTTTAAACCACATGGATAAATTAGTTTAAACTGCATTCAGTAATAAGACATACATTTTAAATTGTAATAATATTTCACAATGTTACTGTTTTTCTCAATTTTTATTCAAAGCAGAGAAAACTCTTTAAAATAAAAACAACATTAAAAACTTATTGATCCCAAACATTTGACTTCCAGTGCTACTTACTTTTCACACAGACCCAAAGGACGGAGGCTCAGTATATGGAGTCGTTTCTCCCAGTGAACTGCGCCTCAGAAATGCGCAAGCGGCCCCCGTCAATCTATGCATCCACAAAAGGAAACGTTATGCAGAAAGCCAAGGTAAACACATCAGCGTTCACAACATTATCCAGTGCAATGCATCAAAAGTCAGATAACGCAAACAGAACAGCTTGCTGCATCAATAGAGATCACATTAAAACATTGTCCGTCTTCAGTGAGTCAGTATTTAATGAGTTTCATCGATCAGTTTGAGGGTGCTGCTGTTAAGATCTTACATGTTGTGTGCATGTGTGTGTTTGTGTTATTTACAATGTAATGCTTTGTTTTTAACCAGGAATGGGAATCTAAAAAGGGGACTTAGTGGAAACTGCTGATCAAGAAGACCTAGTTGTATGACTATATGCCATTTCAAGGTTAACATGAGTATTTCTTCAAAGACAGACTGCTGTACTTGCAACTCGACTGCATAAAGATGATGAAGCCGCCGGTTTATTACAGTACTTTGCATTTAAAAAGATGTCGTCTTTGGGTGTCTGGTGAAGATCCATGTTACAGAATGATATGCGAGTGAAGAATGAAGATAGTACGAGGAAATACTAGTCTGGTGAAAGTGCAAGAAAAGACTGTGGTCAGGTTATAGAGGAAGAATAGGTATGTATGTATGAGACAATCCACTTTAAAATGCTCTTTAATTTCAAACAGTTTTAGAATAGGTGGCCAAATTGTACAAAGTGTTTAGCTTCATTGCTTATATTTCCGGGATATTTCCAATTCATTATCAAATGGTGCTAATAACATTGTAAATATGATAATTGTAAATATTTTTTAACATTCCTTTTTTAATCTAGCATTATTCCATCTAACCTGGTACTCTTGTTTGTAACCTTTTGTTTTCCCCACTTTACCACTATTAATGAGAGTAACGTTTGCACTTTAAAATGTCTTTAGACATGAAAATGGGAATATTCTTTTAATAAAGATAAAAATGCTTAATTTTGTTCATTTGTTATAGCTCTAGAGTTTTCCATTGTGAGAAACGCTGCAGGAAGAGTATTACATGTATGACAATGTTCTCAATACAACTAAACAACAACAAGCATCAGAATTTGGGGGGAAATACACCTTTCAACAAATGGATTGGTCTTATTTTCAATCAGACATCAATCATAAATGCAAAACTAGATTATGTAAATAGGATGAAACATCTGGTCAGAAAAAAAACAACTTAGTTGTTAGGTAGGATAAACATTAATAAAAGACTTAATAATTGAGTGCCGATAATTGATTAACAAATAGCATATTGTCAAACTGGGATGATTTCTGAAGGATTCTGTGACACTGAAGTATTGATTCTTTCAATTCAGCTTTAAATCTTGGTGATAAATTAGCTTAACATTCAATAATAAAAAGACAGTTATTTTAAATTGGAATAATATTTTACAGTGTCACCGTTTTTCTAAATGTTTATTTAAAACAACAAGCAGCAGCCGTATTGGGGTGGGGGGGGGTAGTCATTTTCAAGCAGAGATGTCAATCTTAAATCAGAAACAAGATTAGGTAAAGAAATGGTCAGAAAAAGCTACTTAATTGTTAGGCAGACAAACATCTACAGCTAATTTGTTCTTGCATATAAATGTTTTTGTTCTTGTTACTAAATTTACTTTACATTAAAATGTGCATTTAAAAGAAAATAAGAAAAATACTGAAGATATTCATTTGCTGCAGCACATGAGATGTTAAATTATTACTTGAATGCAAGACTGCTTCAATTGAAGGCCTCTTAAACGGGTGAAAGGGCAAATTCAAAAGGAAAATTCTGTCATTTACTCAGCTTTTACTCATTTCAAATCCTTAAGAGTTTATTTCTTCTTTTGAACATAAGATATTTTGAAAAACGTTGGAATACTGCAACCATTGACTTCCATAGTATTTGTTTTGCCTAGTGTGGCACTGGTTTTTAGCTGCCATCTTCAACAGGAGAGAGACAGAGAGAAACACAATGGTTTGGAACTATTTACACTTTACTTTTTGCTTGTCTCGCAGTTGATAGAACCACATAGTTCTTTCTTTCTTTTTTTTCCAATTGGTAAGTTAAATACCTGCACAACCTCACTGTGAGGGGGAGAAAACAAAAACCAAGCATGTTTAGATTAAAGCATTTAATTATGTACCAAATGTAAAAAAAAAAAATGCAATAAAGAACCATCAAAAAAAAAATCCTCTGAAACGTTTGATATAGTTTAATAACAAAGCCAACAATTTTAAAATGTACAAGGTTTAAGGCACAAAAAAAAAAAAAAAAAAAAAGCTTAAAAGTCACATTCAGGAGGCAAGTCAACTTCAGTCAGCTCATTGATGGTCTGTAGGAAAGCCTCCACTTCATCACCGTATTCCACTTCTGCAGTTGAGGAAATAAAAGACTTAATATACAAAAGTTCAGTTGGGCATAAAGAGTTTTTGCATTTATACATGTTTAATCTGCATTTTCATGCATTCAATACCTTTGGGCATCTTTAAAGGTGAGAGTGGCAAACATGGTTCAATAAACTCTTCCACAGGGGAAGCAGGCAGCCATGTCTGTTTACCCAGACCAGCCAGAGAGAAACGACTGAGGTAAACTTCATCTGGAACACTGTAGCACTCAAACTCTACAGCCATGACAAGACAAGGACAGTCAATAGCTGAACAAACATTTCAGTTCCAAAGAGAAAGCAGCACAGACTTACCGCTTGGATTGTATGGAAAGAACTTCTCAATCTCAGGCAACTCTTCAGTAGGAAGTGGAGGAGGCACTTTGCACTGATGGAACAAAATACATTCAATTCATCTAAGAGTATTATGAAAATGCTTTGATCTGCATATTTAACTGAGACCGGGACAGATCAAAACCTTTACTTGAAGAACCAACCTTGACTTCAGCAGGTCTAGTCTTCTCCTCAGCTTCATGAGAGCTTGTTTGGTTGACAATCTTATTAATGACTCCCAAAGCTTTTCGACTGGATTGCAAAGGAGCTCCGAGATGTGCCTTTCCATTCAGAGGTGTTCTCAAGCACTGATCTGAAGAGAAGAGACAAATTTATGAATAACTATTTAAATTTTACTTAAGATACAGATAAAATATGTAATAAATTTAACAAAAAAAGTCTCCAGGGGAGTTTAGTTTCATTTTATTTGGGTGGGGGTTGAGTCAAATCAGACTCCCAGATGGAACCAATTTTATTTACACAAAAAAAGGTCATAAATGGGATTGTGGCCTTGTTTCTGTATTAATATTATTAGTTTTTTTTATCTCGGTGTTAGTTAATTAGCATATCAAGTCATCAACAAATACAGATCCTAGATTTTCTACTGAAGGAAAGAAGAAAAAAATCATCTTGGATTATCAGAGGGTGAGTAAATTAACATCCTATTAACGATGCGTTTCTACTCATATAGACTTTTAAATGAATCATTGTGCAAACATATGATATATATATATATATATATATATATATATATATATATATATATATATATATATATATATATATATATATATATATATATATATATATATATATATATCTGCATGAAAGACCTGGGTATTGCAAATTAATGTGGTACTTAATTTCTAATATGTTAGGAAATTTATTCAAAACAAATGTCTAAGATGTGACAAAATGATTGGCTGGGCACATAACCAAGTAACAGAACAGATTAAATTTTGTGCTATAAAATTTACTCTTGTTACACATTCAAATGAAAACATGTGCATACATTAAAAAGCCAAAAACAAACAAAAACAACAAAAATGTTTAGCTAGGAGACAGCTGATCAAAAAAATGAAGATTCTATTATCATTTACTTACTCATTTCTGGTTTCAAACCTGTTTAAACAAAATTATATTTTGGAAAAAAAGCTGGTTACCTGTAACCATTGATTTCTGCAGTATTTGTTTTTGCTACTATGAGAATCAATGGATACAGGCTTTCAGCTTTCTTCAAAATATTTTTAGTGTTTAACAAGATAAAGAAACAAAGGTTTGTAACCATTTGAGGTAAATGCCAAGTAAATCTTGAGTAATTTTTCCCTGTTGGGTTTAACGAAGTTATCCCTTTAAAACATCTATCTGAAAGTTTCTGTTTTGACTAGTGGGAACTTGATATTCTGGCTTTGTGAGTTTTTTAGGGTAGGATCTAAATTGGCCATCAGTTGACAACGGGCCTTTAGGTGTTAAATTAGAATTTTGAAAAAGAAATAAAATAAATAAAAATTGTGTGTGTGTGTGTGTGTGTGTGTGTGTGTGTGTGTATACATATATATATATATATATATATATATATATATAGTTTTGTGGGCCTCCAAAATCATAGACAAGAAACCCTTGTTCAAGGACTATTTACAGTAACGTTAGACTCCCCATAATGCTCTCTATAACGTTAACCCTCGTTACTAACCTGTACAAGTCCCGTACCCAGAATGATCTCTCAGTGTTGGTACTGACCTGGAGCTGAGTGCAGTCTGTTCTGCCGAGACTTGATAGCTGGAGTCATCAGTCTGCCATTCTCCTGATCCATGTAAATCATGGTTTCCATGTCTGTAGCTTTGCACAGCCAGACAAGCAAAACAAATATTGTAGTTTTTAAGTGCAAAATAAACCTTTAACAAGACAATGAAAAGCAGCTATGTCGTTTAATTAATGCAGTCAACTGTTGGTAACTAAATTTATTTCCGCTAACGTCAGTTCGTTAACGCATATTTTATCAGTAACGTTACATATGGTAACCTGAACTAGCATGCTTTCATTTTCTAAAACGAACCGTTTAACTTAATGAATAAATAAATAAAAAAAGTGTTTAAACTTACTGTATCTCTGTTTACTCTTGTCCTTCTCAATTCAAGTGCACGAGTAAATAATGACGTTTGTTTTGGTTCCGAGTTTCCCGGTGCCCCATTTTAAAAGGAAACCTGCTAGCCGATTGGCTGATAGATTTTCCTCTTTGGATAGACGGTGATGGTTCATTGAGTAAGCACGACACCGCCATCCTACGGCCAGATTGAGTAAAGAAACTTAGCGTGAATGGCGTTCACTCTTCAAAATCGGAGAAGACGGTAGTGTGTCAAAAATTAAACTACTTAATATGTGTATGGATGTGTGTATGGATGGACAGACGAATTCGTGACAATCGTAAACACTATACCAACGTAATAATAATTTGTTTGACCGAAAAAAATGTTAACCTAGGCAGACACGGATGACACATCAGAATTGATTACATGTCGTTCGTTTGTGTACGTAATAAAGTACTAGCAATTAGATTATTATTTTGAAATGCTCGTTATCAGACGATATATCGTTTTGTTATGGATTAATTTACATTACAAATCATTCTTTGGCAATTCAGACCTGATTTTTTCTCTGTTTTCACTTTGTTGTTTAACAGAATAACTTTAGAATTAAGTTATTTGAAGTCCCCTTGAGATAAAGCTAATGTTTCAATATTTTTAGCATGGTTCTTCATATATTCTATATATCTCTATATTTTCTAACCACAAAGCCATGCTATTATAACACCAACAGTAGTTTAACCATGGTATTTGTTGTAAAACTAATCTGTTAAATGTAGAAAATACAAATGTTCAATTTAAAACATGGTTACATCACTTTTATTACAACATAACCATGACTGGTACACAGTGTAGTATCTCTGTTTTTTTTTTTTTTTTTTTCAGGTATTGACTATGATAAGCAACAACATTATGTGTGTGTGTGATTATATATAATTATTATATAAAATTAGTATTAGCTGTAAATAAATCCAAAAAAAATCTATAAATATCACAACATCTTAATTCATTTTAAATGTTTCTTTATTTTTGCATTTCAGTTGAATAAATAATAAAACTTTATTCTCATATCTCAGTTTTACAATATGGAATCAGACTTATAGACCCCACAGTACATACCTACATGCATTTGACCATTATTGGGTTTGTTAATGGCATTTCATATGGTCACTGCTTGTGGAGTTTATAACATCCCTACTGTGCATTATGCTTGCTTAGCAAACCAGAGCAATAAATAAATAAATAAACAAACAAACAGCAAAAGCATTGAACCCCTATAAATCAGCAATGTGAAGGCAATTGCTTAACAATTAAGATTGGACACGTACAACTGTGCCCTTCAGCAGATGTCTATGTATGGTGATTTATGTGTCCATTTTCGATTCCATTGTCACATAGAAACACCTGCTTTAATGCAATAATGAAGTGTTATAGGGCACTATTCAGCTGGAGCTGATGAGCAGTCAAAAGTCTTCTCTGTTTCAGTCATTTGTGCAATACTTTGTTCATCTGTGGAAACAGGAGGTAGAGTTCTTTCGTCTGTTAGAATAAAAGGTAGTATAGCCAGTAGAAAATATTGATGAGGAGAAATGCCATGGGGAAAAGTATGCGTGCGTGTCTGTCGATGTTGTGGGGATTCTCAACACTCATCATGGACGCTGCTCGACGAGACATTTGCTTTACAGTGGTCAAACCGCATCCCTTCTCTTTGGTCTGTTCTATGGCTTCGTTTTCTTCGCACGTCACGGTTTGCTCAGGCTTTTCCTGCTTAGTGGAGTCTTCTGTTTTCATCTTTCTGGGGGACATCGAACTGACCAAGTGAGTCGTGCCATTTGATTCCTCGAACTCTTTGAGCAATTCCTGTGAAAAATTAAATTACAGATTAAAAAAATGCAATATGCTTTAGTACAATTTGTCATTTTTAACCTCTGGTATCTGTGTGTTCTCACCCTTTGCACGTCTATAATGGTCTGGTGCTGCATGGTGCAGAAATGAGCACAGGCGTATTCCAGCAGAGCACCAAAGATGAAGGTGAAACAGATGCCGAGATAGACGTCGATCGCCTTAATGAAGCAATTGGCATTGGGTAGTGAAGTCCTCGCACCCATCATTAGTGTGGTCATGGTAAGAACAGTGGTCACTCCTGTCAATAGATGGATTCAATAGAGAATAGATTTAGTTCGTTGCATTAAGATATGTTATGGCATGTGTTGTTCTTGAGTGATGAACATTTGGAATCACTGGCCGATGCAGGTGCGAGCTGGGACGGAGGACTGACTGATCCAGAAAGACACCCATGATAGAACCACCAGCAATGTTGAGGGCACATATGTCTCCAGAATGAAGAACAGCACATTTCTACGCAAAGCGAAGTGCAGGATGAGCTTTGGGTAAAGACCTGCAACACATCCAGAGTATTGCAGGTCATTTATACAATGTAAGAAATGTATTTTCACTGAAAACATATTTTGTCATCATTCACTTCACTTGTTGAGTTTCTGTCTTCTGCTGAACACAAAATAAGTTATTTTGAAGACAACTGGAAAGCTGTCACTATTGTCTTCAATAATATTTGTTTTTGTACTATGGAAGTCAATGGTTACAGGTTTATTAACCTTATTTTGTGTTCAAATGAAGAAAGAAACTCAAAAAGGTTTAACATCACTTGTGGGTGAAATGTTCAGTTTTGAGTGAACTAGGCAAATGCAAATATAAATGTTTTAGTTACATTCTGTTTAATTACCTGTATTATCAAGGCAGTTATCACTACAATTAAGTAAAAAAAAAATAGTCATCACATCTTAACACTTTAGTGTTGCAGTAATGCAAGTTATGTAATAATATTACTTTTCTAAGTAACAAGTAAAGTAATGCATTACTTTAAAAAAAATGTTAATTACATTTGGGTCACTTCTTTAAAAATATAACCTGAGTTACTATTTAGTTTAATTTATTAGCTTTTAAAAATAAATTGTTGAATTAAAATAAAAGTAGTCACAATGAATCACAAAGTCAATGAGATAATTTTTACGTTATTTTGAATGCATCAAAGAAAAGGAAAAGGGGATTGTCTTAGTAGACAATGATTTTACTTAAGACAAATAGTACAAAAAGTAGCAAGCATTGCTGTAAACTTTCAATGATCTCTAAATACAGCATGTATGGCTATGGAGTCAGGAAGTTCTCTGGTAAATTCCTAAAAAAATTTTGAAATGTGTTTTTTAAAGTTAAATGAAGGTGTAGTTTATACAGTGTGTTGTTAATTGCAGAGCTTCTCTATTTAACAGGAAAAAACACGTTCTGAAAGAGATTAAGCCTTAGCTAGGTGACAAAAAGTAACACAAAGGTAACTCAAAAGTAACATAACGCATAGGCCCACACGAAATCTGCGCGTGCAGAAATCCACAGATTTTCAGCCCATCATTGAGTCTAGGGCTGTGTGACTTATCAACATCAAATGCAATCGCAAGTTGAAACGCTACAATTAGTTAATTGCAAGAGGCTGCAATAAAAAATATCAATGTATATATGTTAAAAAAAATAACGAATTCTGCTATGTCTGCCTGCAATGGTGTCGTAACGCATCGCAGACATGGTATCGTTTGTCGTGAACTATGCCATTACATGAAAAGAAACAACTGAATCTTGTGTCATGACGTCCATTTGTCGTTTATGACTCCCTATGACACCCTACGTCAAGGATATCATGCAGACATCGTGTGATCTGACCGGGGCTTTATAAGTAGCCAATTGAGTGAACACACTTTTGTTCTGTGTTGTTGGACTTTTGTCCAATCAGAATTGCACATCTGAACTACGCCCCCAATAAACAAAAAAGAGAACAAACAGGAAAGCACTGACAAGTGGGGTTATGGCATCTGCTGCTTCAGAAGCATTAGTAGACAATTTTATATCAAAGAAAAACAGCATTTGTTATAAGGAAATATTTTGGTTTTAAAATCACTCAGATAAAAAACAGGCCATTTTTAAGAGCCATCACAGGAATGTTGCCACGGTTTACAGATTATTGAGCTGAAGCTTGAATTAAATTAAAATTAGCTTGAAGCTTGAATTAAATTAAAAACCAAATCGCAAACGCGATTTCTGTCAAAAAATTTTCAATTAGGTATTTTCCCCAAATCGCACATCCCTAATTGAGTCTATTCGTTTACTTATGTAAATGTGTGTAAAATGTTATTTATTCAGTTTTTAAATACATTTCAGTAATATTACTGACTAATATGAAAACGTTCACATGATTTACTTACAATACAGTTTGTCAAGTTATAATTTGACTTTTAGTGTATAAATGGTAGATATATGAGAGACTTGCTTTGTTTACCAAATAAACAGATCTAATAGGATTTGCACTGTAAACAATATATAAAAGTTAAACATGTATAATTTTTTATTTAACGTGTATCATTTTTTTATTTAATTTAATTGTACCAATTTAAGTTTTTAGTTGCGACACACCCAAAATCATTCCGCATATTCCACATCTGCAGATTTTTACAATATTCTGCACAGAAAAAGCTAAATGTCCACAGATTCTGTCTGGCGCTATGCAATAAAAAGAAACTATGTAAGGGAACTAGTTATTTTTTAGGAAGTAACTCAATATTGTAGTGCATTACTTTGAAAAGTAACTTTCCCCAACACTGGTAGAGTGATTATAGACGTGTTTAAGTGCAATAAATTCATGAATTTGTTTCATGCATATGTTTAACCTTTTACGCCTAAAACCTCCATTGTGCAATGTTTATCTTGAAATTTGCCCTCGTGCTGTTTTCTTTGAACTAAACGCATTTGGATGATCTTTTGTTATCTAATGTAATGACATCTTTAAGTCTGGCTTAAGTGTCCAAATTCTTTTTTTGGGACACTGTAAACCATGATTGCACAATAATCCGCTTAAGAGGAAGACGTCTACTGAATGTGGAAGAAATCTAAATATAAAATCCAATTTAGCATGAAGAACTGACTGGAACATTTTGGCAAAATGAGGTATAAAACTAGGCAAGCTATGCATATTAATAAATATAATGTTTATACCTGTTTCATACACCGCCTTTGTTACACTGGTATAGTAGCTCTCTACACTGTACTGGGCCAGACGCAGT